CTCTCCTGAAGCTGCTACCCCTACGACCCGAACCCCGCACAAGCGGCAGATAATGGATGGATAGATGGATGGAAATACTAAATGAAATGTAATTGATTCCATTGAATGAAACACATGGCACTATACAATTTTAAAGGAACACTTTCCAATTCCATATATAGGTTAAACTAAATAGGAAGATATTTCTATACACCACATAGGACGAATAAAAAAAAACAGGAAAATGTATATATCTGACACAAAATGTTAACAAACTTAAAAAGATATATCTCTATATACAGAATACACACACACATATATGTATGTGTGTACTGTATATATATATACTGTACACACACACACACACACACACAATATGTGTACACCCACACACTCACTTGATTTATACTTCATGGTGCCAGACATAGTAGATCCAACATCTAAGAAATAGCCGCCATTGAAGGATTTTCACAAAGTACAGTTTCTACATACGATGGTGCAATAAACAAAAAAGATCCATACAGTGGCAATTTTGACAGCAAAAACAACTTATTATTGACAATGGTCAGAGGGGAATGGCTAGACTTGTTAAAGTCAACAGGAAGGGCAAACATGTCATAGACCAAACTCCATAGCTGCCAGCATCTTGAATCACTGCTTTGAAGAATTCAGGCTGTTCTGTATTCAAAAGGGGGTCATAGGCAGGCTACTGTTTATATATGTGCGGTCTCATTTAGTAATTGCTTATGACACATTTAGCAGTTAGAGCTGTACCCAAATGTTAGGGAATTTTGATCTACTCTTCTATGAAAGCCGTTTACATTCAAGCTTATAAGCATGAGCTATTTATTTGAGGTTTTACCACAAAATCCAAACTATTAACTTCCCTGTTTCCTCAATTGGGCTGGTGTAGCTTTGCTAGTTGTTTGAGATCTTTGTCTTGCTGAGTAAGTAATAGTAATAGTGTTTCAGCTTAAAATGGCATAACATTCCATTGTAAAATTGGTACAGAATTTTTTGTTTATGGTCCCTTCAATGGCAAGTTGTCCTGGTCCTGCTGTTGCAAAGCATACTCAACCCATGACAGTACCACTAGGGTTGACTGATGGTATGATTTTCTTGGTGTGGAATGCAATGTAGTACTTGGCCAGACATAACAAAGCCTTTGATAGCTAAAAAAGTTCCACATTTCGTTTATCTGGTCATAGAGCACTGTTCTAGAACTCATCATACATCATCAGAGGATCATAGAGGTGGTTTGGTTTTTGGCTAACATGCAGTGGGCATTTGTGTTCTTCTTAGTGGGAGTAGTCGTTGGCTCTTTGCTACTCTGTCAGGTGTCCTGGAGGAAATTCTTATAATTGTGGTGTCATGAACACTGACAACAGCAGAGGTAAGAGTAGCGTACTGTAGCTTCCCGGATGCTACTCTCTGCAGTTCCCTGTGTAATTTCACACCTTGTTTTGAAAATATTTTGGACAGACATTCATGGGTAGATTAAATACTTTCCAAAACTTTATCCATTTGCTCTGGCTATAGATTTATGGAGCCACTACATTTCTCAAATGACTTTGTATCCCTTAACTCTTACTAACAGCTTTTTCCCACAAGTCCTCAGGATTTTATTTTGATTATCACAAGTTGTGAGTCTAGAACATGTGACAACTTCATTCCAATGTAATGGGCAAAGTTAATTACTTTAAAATTGGATAGCAGTTGGCTTTTTTTTTTTAACTAGGTTTCAAACATCTGCCCCTAATTATCTTTTTTGGGTTAAGTTAATTAGGGGGTTCAATAACTTTCTCACACCTGTTTATTAAAAAACAAAACACCAAACTCATTTTTTATATATTGCTACAAGCCCTGTGTTTGTGTTTGTGGGTAATTGAGTGTGCCTTGCATTGCACTAGCTCTCTGTCCAGAGTATAACCCAGCTTCCTGCTCTATGCTAACTTGGATAGGCTACAGCCCCTCTATCATGCTGATCAGTGATTGGAAGATATTTAGATTGCTAAGACTGACTTGACTATATTAAGACTGAAAATTAAGAAAATATGCTAAATGTCAGAAAGGGCTTAATATTAATTTGACGTAAATTAACTGGAACTAACTTTTAGCACTCTATTAACAAGAGTACAAGACTAAGTAAAATAATACTTTTTTACATAAACCACCAATGGAAAATATGGACAGGTTAGGTGGAAGTTCAAGGCTGACAAGTTGACAAATCATCTCCTTAATCTGACGTGTGTCTCAGTGTTGCATAATCGAGATGCTTAGATGACTCTTTTTACATAACCTCTCCTCTATTCCTGCTTCATGTACAAACTACCCTGTGATCCTGCGATTATACCATTTTCTTTTTATCCACAAATACTCATGCACAAACATTAACAGAAGCATGGAGGAACTCCAGATTCATCAGTTGCTTCTGGGTAAAGTTCTTACTGTACAAAAAAAAGCAATTTAGATTTCAAAGCTAGTTCTTTCTTTGGTTTTTGATGGTGTGTGGCTGTGGCTGTGATCGGGTGCCGGTTCAAATCCTGTGGCTGACAGAGTGATTTTACCTTGGGCCCCTTGGGCAAGGCCCTTAACCCCCAATCACCCCGGGGAATGTCTGGTCTTGCTTTCTGAATTGTGCGCTGCTTTGGATAAAAGCATCTGCTAAATCTATAAATTAAATGTATTCATGATGGGACTCTCTGTTTCACTGACGTCCATTACCACGGGACAAGATCTGAAGTTTGAGATAATAGGCATATAACCAGCTGACTTTCCATACATTTTTCATATAGTTTTTTTTCAGGTAATCAGAAAGACTTTCCTTAAACAGCAACTGCAAAAATTAGGCTTGAGCAGATGGTTTGTGTGCAATCACACACATAATATATGCAGCAAGAGGTCATACTCATGCCTGACCCCTCAATAGAGTTTATGTCATTAAGTGGTGGCTAAAAGCCCATCCTCTATCAGTTGTGCTTCTGAAGGGGGCTGGCATGACCCACAAATGCCAGTGTTTCCCAATCCCGTCCTCAGGAATCCACAGTTCCGGGAGCTAGGAGGAAGCAAAATGTGGACTGTTTATGGGTCCCCAAGGCCCGAGCTGGGAAACAGTAGAATAGGAGAACTAGCAGGTTTTACATATGAGCAGCTGGCACAAAGCACAAGCAAAGAGGTAAAAATGATACTTATCAGTTGATGAATAAATTATAATAGTACAAACTGACAAGAGACTGGGAATCATGAGGAGAGTGTGAGGATGGGCCGAGGTTTGTAGTCAAGCCCTTCTACTCATTTTTAATTAAGTGTAGTAAATGTGTGAAGCAAGTGTGCTGGGTGTTAGAGAAACAGTGAGGCCGGCAGCACTGGCGTGTTTCTGCGGCTTCACAAGTCGGCTCATTTAAGTTAGAGTCAAACAGCATTTTGTAAGTTGCTCAGTTCGCCTGACTGTGTCATCCCAAGGGTGCCAATAAAGTCGTCCGATTCAGTCCCCCTTGTGAATCCGTTCACCACCATGAAGAACCTGGTTTTCCACACATTTCCATTCTGACATACAAAGCCCTTGATACGTGATAGAAAAGGCAATGACAACTATAGGCATGTTACATTCATTCGTCGGTACTAGCCTAGACAAACCACCAGCCTTCTCCAAAGCATGCCTCCTTTGTTACAGAAGAGTTTATATAACATAGTATTTTACATATAGTCATAAATATGCTAACCGAGGTACTCATATGGTACACGAGCAGAGGTCCTGAAATGTCAGCAGAGGCTGAAGTCTGCTTTGTAGTTGTTTCCAACAGTTGTATCTTTTGCAATGAAAACCATAGACTGTATAACAGTAGCATTTTTAAATGAAATATGTTTTTACACACATTACTATATGGAGGGCAGAATATGTAGCCTTTAAAAGTCATCCATCCTTCTATCTTTCTTCTAACTGAATATCCTGGTTAGGATCACCGGGAGATGGTGTAGGGGGATGAAGCAGCACAGGGCACAAGGCTGTGGTACACCCCAGAGGGAATGCCAATCCATCACAGGGCACAAGGCTGCTGTATACCCCAGAGGGAATGCCAGTCCATCACAGGGCACAAGGCTGTGGTATACCCAAGAGGGAATGCCAGTCCATCACAGGGCACAAGACTGTTGTATACCCCAGATGGGATGCCAGTCCATCACAGGGCACAAGGCTGTGGTATACCCCAGAGGGAATGCCAGTCCATCACAGGGCATAAGGCTGCTGTATACCCCAGATGGGATGCCAGTCCATCACAGGGCACAAGGCTGCTGTATACCCCAGATGGGATGCCAGTCCATCACAGGGCACAAGGCTGTGCACTCAAACACAATCATGCTCTATGAACAATTTACAGACATCTTAAAACTCAAAATTGTACAATAAAATTTACTGTGAAGACTTTGCTATCCTAAAAATAATCTGGGGAGAAAAAATAGCCGAAAACAGCTGAAAATGATGGTACATCATGACCTAATACACAAATACGAATCACTGACTCATGTATTTATCATATTTTAACATTTGTAACGCTATAATGTCTTACATGTTGCACCATATAAAGGGAAAGTGCTTTGCTTCCGGTCATGTGACATAATAATAATTTTTACAAGGTTTTTCAGAGAAGTTTTAACAGGAGATCCAAAATGCCCAGGATAAGTGGTTAGAAGGTGGATGGATGAATGGATGGATGGATGGATGGATGGATGGATGGATCAATCGATAAGGGCTTTGAATCAGTGAATGTGACTAAAATGAAAGACATGACTAGTTTGTTTAAATGCAGGACAAAATGTAATATGTTTTTGAATTAAGGCAGGCCATCACTGCATCATGCTCATCAGATCTGATGTTATTGATCTCCCACCAACCCCCATGGAAGGATCAGTAATTATTACTGCAGCTGTATATGTAACAGATGGAATTACTTTTTTTCTTCAGATAAATGCAAGAGGTAGACGGTGTGCGCAACACAATTAAGAAGAAACGATCAATTACTCACAGTCTCTCAAGATGTGAAAGACCAAAGAAAGAGTCATTTTTCAATATGGAGATCTTGTTATTACTGAGGATCCTGTGGAGAGAAAAAGCAGAGAAAGATACTGAGCCACAAGCGAAAATACATTTTAAAGATTACACAAATATAGAAAAAAGTTATTTGTCTGAAGACCCATTAATACATGATTTAGACATGTCACACACAAACAAAATACTTGAGGGGAAACCCTTAAGGACTTTCACTGTTCCAGACAAACCAAGTCCAAACTGGACTAGCCAATACCAGTACTGGAAAAGACCATATTCAGACTGTAGTAAAATATTACTCATTTCATGTATGGATTCTAAACAGGATATTGCAGGACTCTCCACTTTCAATCAAATGGGACATATTTGGCAGAAGCTTAACAGTGGGTGAGGCTTTGAATGAGAAAAACTCAGCCATTGATTCCATAAGTGATTGAATAACCAATTATTATAGTTATTTACTTATTTTAACTGAAAAGGAAGTGCTGTCTTTCCTGGACCACAGAACTGTGAGTTAAAAGGTACAAACTGCCAGTGATTAATAAGGCATTCATTCTTGGCAAGCTCTGCATTATTTGAAATGCTTTTCAAAATGACATTTCTGGATTTCATATTTGTTGAAATATCGATCTCTCATACGAGACATTATATCATTCTGTCTGCAGAAGGACTACAGTCTCAAGAGCAGCTGCAGCAGGTGAATGAGTGTGGAAACCCGCTTTACATGCAGAGGCCTACACATCCTCTCTTCTGCCGCGCTATTCCCAAGGTGCTGAAGGTCAGATTCCCCCCTCTGCCGTTTTTTCCTTAACAAGGTCAAAACTTTCACTTGTGGGACTGATCTCAAGTTGTGAGAAAACCTATGATGTGCTCTGTAACGCAACGAAGGCTTTGGTGAGTTAGCACACTGCCATCATTGTAAAACCTTGCAAAATTACAGTTTAACCTAAATGCAAGAAAAAAATGCTAATTTAGAACAACTAGCCGGAAGATAAAATAAAATATAAACTGCATTAAAATGTGGACCAGGGAGTGTCAATTCTCCAAGCCCGTTTGTGATTTTCATAGACAGGATATTAAAGGGCAGCCGTAGCTGAAAGATCGTCCAATATGGGGATTCTAGAAATACCCAATATCTGCAGATGATGTCATGCCTTTTAGCCAATCACCGCCTCCAGCTCCAAATCCAAATCTTTGGTACTTGCTCAGAAAGGAGTGGATTGCTCCTTTCAGTTGTGGGGGGGGGGGGGGGGAGTTTCCCCTTAATGATGCAGTTCAAGTACCTTGAGATCTTGTGCACAAGTGATGGTCGGACAGAAAATGATGTTGATCTAGAGACCAGTTCAGACACAGCAGTTTTGCAAGCACTGTGGAGGTACGTAATGGTGAAGCAGGAGTTAAATCATCATACCAGCCAATTTACATCCCTATTGTCACCTATGGACATGAACTGTGGTAAAGGTGAGGAGTATGTAGATCTGAAACAACCTAGTAACAAAGCTGCTCCTCCATCAGATTGAGGAAGGTCAGCTGAGGTAGCTCGGGCATCTTATAATAATGCCACCTGGTCAGCTCCCAAGGGTCACTGGCTATGTAAGCATTATGGTAAGCAAATGCATATTGCATTGTAACTGTCATGTTTTGAACACCATGCAATAATTAAGAAACATATGCTACTATGTTGTGTAATCTGGGCATAACTGAGATACACATGCTTTGACTCGATGCAAAAAAAAATATTTTTAAACTAGATTTTTAAACAGCAGCATTGTACTGTATTCCCAGAAGTGCCCTGTCATTTGTTTCAGATATCTAAGCCATACTAGTCCCACACTCATCAGCTTGTACAATTTGTATGAGTATTGGATGGATCAGGTCGAAATGTGAAAGTGAAGTGCAATGTCTAGAATAACTGGATGGATCACCTGGGAATGTAAAACTAAATAAATGTGTTTTTACCTGAATGCTGTGAGTTCTTGTTGTGATATACATGTAGGCCTGAAAGTATACTTATTCATGTATCGCACATTCTACTATGATAATTTACAGAATATTTCCCCACCAATTAGGTGGTTACTTGTATTGCTTTGTGTATATTTTAATGCCCAGGTTTGAAAATGCCATTTATTATATTATTTATATGTTTTATATCCTTAAATGAGGGTGGCATGAGCGCTGTTGCCTCACACCTCTGGGATCTGGGTTTGAGTCTCAGCCAGGGTTCCATGTGTGTGGAGTTTGCATGTTCCCCCATGTTGTTGTGGGATTTCCTCCAGGTACTCCCATTTCTCCCTCATACATATACTGTAGGCACATTTCACCTACAACATTAGCAAAAACAGGTCATAGATCTACACAGACAAAATCCACACATTTTTTGCGTTGTTTCAGTTTTTAGTGCAGTTATCACGTCTGATTTGCTTGCATTTGCAGTGAATGTCACTGCAGTCTGGCCCCTGGAAACTGAACACACGTGTCCCCGAAGTGCCAGACTTATGCCCAGTGTGAGCACTTTGATAGCACTTTGCTGCATTTGTCACAACGAGCAAATGGCAAGTGGTTCACTTTGTGGTCACTTACTATAAAAAGGACTGCCAGATATCAGATTTCCCTTTACTTAGTTTGACATTAAGTACTTATATAGTTTTACGGTCGCCTTTCCTGAAGCTGGCACATCCTCGGGCATTAAAGATTTTCATGCCACTCTGCCACCATTAGCCAGGCTCTCACGAGGGACTTTTAAATTGCTAACGTCCTTCCGAAAGTTCCAGGACAGGCTGGCTGTGCAAAAGCCAGATAAGGCATAGTAGCCTGTTATTCTTTTAATCAGTGAAATTTTAAGGTAACTTTCTATTCACTCGCAAATATAAACAAAAGTTTGATAAAAACAACAAATAAAGTATATTTGAACAGTACTTGAAATATTTTGTCCCCCACCCCCAAATTCAAAAATGAAAATTACAGATTTCAATTTTGGTTAAGTCATTATCTTAACAGGATGAAGTGTCAAAAGTTTTTTTTGTTATCACTATGCGGCGCTGCTTCAATTTGAGGTTGATCCTCAACGTAATTCCTGTGCACGGTTTTGAAAACAATCTGGCAAACTGTTTTTAAGCTTTTGGCTCACATACCAAACCGTCTGTAGCAGCGGTGGAGACAGAGGCAATGATGGACTGGTGTTAAAACCATATGTATTCCCCAAAGGCTGTGGAATACAATAAACTGTCTTTTTCGTTACCATTTTATGAACATGTATGTTTCACTATACATGCATCTTTCCTAAGAGCTTATCCAGTACAGGTTCGAGGTGAGTCTAGACACAGGAAGCATAAGGCACCTTAGACAGGATGCCAGTCAGTCACATATATCACACATCCAAAGGGCTAAGCACCAATTCACCAAACCACAAGCTTATCTACTGTGATAGGACGTCTGCACAAACACAAGCAGCACATGCAAATTCCGGAGTGAGAATTAAATCTAAAAGTGTTGTTGATGTTACAATAAAATAAAATAAATTGCGACAAAGCAATATTCCCCAATAATATGTCACTGGCTCAACAGTACTGTTGCTTAAAACAACAAACATCCTATTAATGGATCATCAAAGTCTGAATCTGAGTCACATCTGTCAAATGTCTCTTTGGCTGGGAAGGTATCTGTACATCATTCAAGCCCTGTCATGCTCAGCCCATCAACAACAACAGCGGGATCAGTTCGGATGTGGCACAGTTTGGATGTGATGGGTCTAATTTGAATCCAGGCTTAGGGCTATAACCATCCCACTAAATATTTCTTTACATGATACAGACACACAGGAGTGAAAAAATGCATACACATATACTTTTAAATGTATGTATTTCAGACACTTTTATCAAAAGTGATGTACAATTGAAAAAGCAGTTAGTCTGTCCCTAGAGGGGGTTTGGGGCCTTGCTCAAGGGCCTAACAGTGACATCACTCGGCTATCCTCAGGCTTTCTGATCATGAGCACCGAGTCGTAACCCTGAGAGCCAGGCACCATCCCAAACAAATGTTTTCCACATAATCCCACTTATGGTCTGTTTTTGTAGTCCCCAACAACTCAATTGCATGAGTTTCCCACTAATGTCATCATTCAAAAACATACGTGAAACAAACTTGAAAAGTATAAAAAAGTAAGAAACCTTCTTTATATACACCAAGGTGCTATGACAGAAAATATGTGAACATGAAAAAAGTTAAGGTAGTTCAATTGAAATGTGCGTGCATGTGTGTGTGTCAGGGAAAAGAAAGCCGTAATGAAGTCAGACCCAGTGGACTTAACACTTGGGAGCAAATACTTTCCATGGCTGAAACAAAGATTTGTGTTAGACAGGTCTACACAGGAGACCTGATTTGTTCACTTTTCACTGTCATTTGTCATTATGAAAGTAATAAGCAGCCAGTTCTTGCATAATGCACATCTTTATGCACAACATATTCCAGTAGTGTTGAAAAATGCAGAAAGATTAAACCATAAATATACAAAACTACACCATATGTTTATATACGTATCTTTATATAAAATGAGGTGTATACACAAACGTGTTATTCAGCTATATACTGTCTATAAAAGAAAACCATTAAAGTATATTTAAGGATCAATTATAATTATACAAGGATGAATGAAACGAAGAGCCAAACAAGAAAAAAAATCAGTAGAAGAGTTGAAAAAGTATATTATTTCATTAGTGTAAACTGTTTGGCTGAGCATGTTTGGCTAATACTCTACTGAGAGCTACTATCGCATGTAGAAATCAGTTGCATGTAACAATCTGTAGTGGATAAAACATATCTGTTATGAAAGGCATAACCTTCATTTAAAACAGCTGTTGCTATGCTACCATCACCACAAAAGGGTGACTTTAGTAACAACAACATTTCCTGAATTAGAAAACACACAAACAAAAATACTTAACCAATGTTTTCCTTTTAAATATTTTACAGTGTGTTCTGGAGAGTAGTTTTACATGGCGCAGATGACTGTATAAACATGTTTTTGTGCCCCACTACTATATTAATCATCCT